GATGGTCTTGATAGTCACAGATTGTTTGGCAATTTCAACATCAACTTCAAATATCTCTCCATCAGAACTCTGCAATTTAATTGAAGGCATGGTGCTCGGTCTCAAGGAGAGAGCAGGCCGGAGGCTGATGAGAGCCGGGCAGTGTCAGCAGAACCCAAAGAAAAAGGTGGAGAACAAGGCCACTTACAGCCAAGCCATATCATTTTTCAAATGGCCAAGACTAAATTCTAGCATCTACGGATAAACATTTGGGTAATGGGACCTTTTTTTAAAAAAATATGGAAGTCAGGATGGTGGTTATTTTTGGCAGAAGGAAGAGTTTTGATGGAAGGGGTTTCTGGGGTGAGTAGTGAAGCTCTAGTTCTTGACCTGGGCAGTATCGGTCTTATAACAATTCGTTATGCCATTCATTTGATTAAGGCAGTTTTCTTTCTCAGTTTTATAATGGAAAGATCTTTAAAAATGTGTAATTACCTATCAAGTGGGAAATATTATAAAGACTGAATGCCAACATTTCTTTGTAAATAATGTCTTGATGAGAATTCTTACTATCTTTTTAATTAAAATACATATACTGTCTTAACATTGAAAAAGAAAACTTCATACCTACACTGTTTCCTCATAGGATAGAATGTAGAGAAAGCTCAGCTTTAAATTAAAGAGTTTTTTTAATATATTTAAAAACGAATATTGTTGATAAAGGGGATGGCTATATATGGGGGTGGGGATAGGAGGTATATGGGAAATCTCTGTACCTTTCCTTAATTTTGCTGTGAACCTAAAACTGCTCTAAAATATAAAGTTTATTTTTTAAAAACCCCACCTAATATTAAGTTCTTTCCATGTGCCAGGCACCTGCTGTATTATCTCATTTAAACTGCACAAGCTTATGAGATAGATCACATCTGTTCTCACCCTTTTACAGATGAGGAGACTGGAGCACAGATGGGTTAATTAACTTACTCAAAATTATAAAAATAAAAAATTATGTAAATGGAAAAGTAGAACCCAGGTCTACCTGACTCCTGTGGGCAGGTTCCATACTGGATCTGTCTCTCTGTGCCCAGTATCTACTAGTACTTATGGAATTAAACTGGTTTACTGAATACTAATGATCAGGAAACAGATATTAAGATTCCATAAGCTGCTACCTAGAACACCACTTCTTGGCAGGAGAGATAAGAGGCAAAGACTTCCTTTGAGCCCAGCAGTCACAGAGACCCTTCTCTAGGGCAGAATGGTCTCCCAGTGCAAGGGCTTGAGTCCAGGCTGGCGAGATGCATTCAGATTAAATGTGTCTGGGAACCGGAGAGATGAAAAAGACAGCTACATGCTGCTGACAGCAGGGAGTGCAGAAAAATGTTTTCTGTTCCCTAGGAAGGCAAAGTTACCACCCTGACACACTGAATTACCAAACCCAGACGAAGAAGTGAGATCTTAGAGTTCATGTGTCTTGACTAGATGCTGGAAACCACCACCAACGAGGACCAGAAGCAGCCTGGGGCCAGTGGAAAAAACACGAGTTCTAGAGGCAGACAAACCAGGCCCTCAATCCTGGCTCCAGCTCTTACCAGCACCCACTCATCTGGCGGGGGGGGGGGGGGGGGGGTGTGTTCCTCTTTATCCCTTTCCTGGGCTACCTGGCACATTTTATGTTGACTTTCCTCTCTGTTTCCTCTTTGTGTCTACCTAGAAGAGGGGTGGGGAACCTTTTTTCTGCCAAGGGCTATTTAGATATTTATAACATCACTAGAGGCCTGGTGCATGAAAATTTGTGCACTCGGTTGGGGGGGGGGGCGTCCCCTCAGCCTGGCCTGCACCCTCTCCCAGTCCAGGAGCCCTCAGGGGATGTGTGACTGACAGCTTAGGCCCACTCCAGAGTGGGCCTAAGACTCAGTCTGGCCTTCCTCTGCGGGAGGCGACCAGGCGGACTTATCAGCACCGGCTGGCGAGCGGCTGGCCCTGCCCCCTGATCAACGTCCCCTCCCTCACGCCAGCCGCCTGCTCACCAGCCCACCCTCTGCTGACCAGTCATTCCACCATTCAGTCCATTTGCTTATTATGCTTTTATTATATAGGATTCCCGGGCCATACAAAATTATCAACTTAAAAATTAGCCCGCTATATTTGGTCAAACATTTAATTAACTCACCCCTAATGCCTTGGCAAGGCCAGACCAAATGATTTTGCGGGCTTTATATCTGTGGGCTGGACGTTCCCCACCCCTGATGTAGAATATAAGGGATTTGAGGGCTGGAACATGGTTGTGTTCACTGCTGAGTCTTCTAGCACCTAGAACCGTGTCTGGCATAGTAGGGTCTTGGTAAATGCTTATTCAAAGTTGATTTAAACTGTTTCAACCCTCTCTGCTTTAAGTTCCTTATCTGTCAAGCTGGGGATAATACCACGCACACTTAACCAAGAAAATATAAAGGGCAAGAAGTAAGGGTTCAATAGATATTGGGTTTTTTCCTTTATATACCTCTTTTGCGTAACACTCATCAAATGAGGATAAAACTATTTAACTTGGGATAAAACTTCCCCTTCAAAGAATAGATAAGGACCATTTAAGCTCGCCACTGACTTGCTCAGGACACCCTCAAAACCTACAGACCATTTCTAATGTTGGGAAGATAAGAGTAAAAATGAATCACAGTAGGAACTTGGGTGAATTATGTCTTAAGCAAATCGCGTATGAATAATGCCAGTGAACTGCGATGTATGAGGACAGGGCGAGCCGAGATCTGCCAGGTCACATCATTAACAGGGAACAGCAAACCAAACATAAATAATCTCCAGTAAAAGGCTTCCCCCAAATCCTGCCACACCTCCCTGGGCTGTGACTGTTGTGACTTGGGCATTCACTGACAAAAGGGAAGCTGCCTCCCAGAGAACAAGGACTTTATGCCTGCCATCTCATTGACTTTTAAAAATAATTTTGTGAGGGTGGCATTCTTATCCCCATATAACAAATGAAAAGCCTGTGGTTCAGAGAGGAAGTGATTTCCAAGGTTTCCCATCTCTTAAGAAGCAGCTCTCCCGGAATTCCAGTTTCTTTAGCCGGCAGTGAATGGGTGACTACAACACATGTGGAGTACCTCTCTAACACCTGAATACTCCATTGCACATTTACAAGCTTCCCGGATTCCAACGCCCCCAGGAAGTGAATATATTAAGATAAG